TTTCCTTTTGGATCCTCACACATTGACAAGTAATTGTGGCAAGAGGGGTTGTAGCTTTAGGTAGGAATATTCAAGATAAAATGCCTGTAATACTAGAAGTGATTTAGCATTACTTTTCTCTGCACACTTTTCTAGGAACCAAGGTGATGTATGTACTACAAATGCTAAGAGAAGAAAATTATTAATACTATTTTATTTGTTTACCATTCAAAAGGCAGTTGGTTCTTCAGAGTTAAAAGGTGAAACCACAGTTTCTGCCCATCAAAATCTGAATAGAACTAAAAATGATAAAGAACAGGAAAGGAAATAGAAAAGCATTAAAACCAGAGGAAGCAAGATGAAGATAAGAAACAGTGGATAGAGAGATTAAGAAGTTACTTTTCAGTCACTTGTAAAAGTTAAATTTGAAGATTATATTGGCTCTGTACCCAAATTAGTTAGATGCTTTTCTAAACTGTTCTCTATTTAGATAATCCAACCACACTAAGACAAAATCTTCCTTGGAGTAAATGTCTGTAATTTTCCCGTTTCTGTCAAGTAAATAACAGCAGGAGAACATTTGTTTTTGTATGATGGCATTCTGCTGCAAGTCAGAACTTGGGATATGCTAAAAATTAAGGGGACAGCTCATGTTAACTTTTTGCTTTGGGCTCTTTCAGAGGACTGTTTGTCACTATTGGGTAGCAAATGTTCTAAACCAGAACCCCAGACAAAACTGTGCGTGGGATTTCAGGAACATTTACAGCCTAAATCTTGAACCATATTTGGATTTTACAAAGTAACTGCCAGGTTTTTTCACTGTACTGTGGAACATAGGATCCAAATTCCTTAAAATACCAATCTAGATAGAAATCACTTCTTCATATATACTCTTTGCATTAATAACTTAGGGTCATTAAAGTAAGATTCTGATCTCTTCTGGCGTGGGTCCACATCCAAACAGTTTAAAATCCAGCTTTAATCCATGTGCTCAGTGTTTACAATTGGCTTGCTCTAAACTTTTTAAAGCCAGAAAAACTGATAGGCCCAGTAATATGATTGGAATTTAGGCCCTGCTACACCTGTCTTAATTGCTTTTGCCCAGAAATTCAGGACTTGAGCATCTGCAAATGAGTAGCAAAATTTACTTCTAGCCTTACAAAAACGATTTCTTCTTACCAATGCCTTTGTGTGTGATTTTTTTACAGTGCAGTCAGTTTTGTTTACCCAGTGGGCAATCACCTTTGCCAGTGCTCTGACTGTGGCCCTGCAGAGGACAAGACTCAATCTGTTCTTTTTTTTTTTTTTTCTTTTTGTCTCCTGCTTTGCTCCAGGTAACATCAGTTGCAAGGGGATGACAGAGCGCATTCATAGCATCAACCTTCACAACTTCAGCAATTCTGTGCTCGAGACTCTCAACGAGCAGCGCAACCGTGGCCACTTCTGTGACGTGACGGTCCGCATCCACGGGAGCATGCTACGCGCCCACCGTTGTGTGCTGGCGGCTGGCAGCCCCTTTTTCCAGGACAAATTGCTGCTGGGCTACAGTGACATCGAGATCCCCTCAGTGGTGTCAGTCCAGTCTGTGCAAAAGCTCATTGACTTCATGTACAGCGGGGTGCTGCGGGTCTCACAGTCAGAGGCCCTCCAAATCCTCACAGCTGCCAGCATCCTGCAGATCAAGACTGTGATTGATGAGTGCACAAGGATTGTCTCACAAAATGTGGGAGAGGTCTACCCAGTGATTCAGGATTCTGGCCAGGAGACACCCAGGGGAACCCCCGAATCAGGCACCTCGGGGCAGAGCACCGACACAGAGTCTGGCTACCTGCAGAGCCATTCGCAGCACAGTGTGGACAGGATCTATTCGGCCCTCTATGCCTGTTCCATGCAAAATGGCAGTGGGGAGCGCTCCTTTTACAGTGGAGCTGTGGTCAGCCACCATGAAACAGCCCTGGGACTCCCCAGGGACCATCACATAGAAGACCCCAGCTGGATTACCCGGATCCATGAACGGTCGCAACAGATGGAGCGGTACCTCTCCACCACTCCAGAGACCACACACTGCCGCAAGCAACCGCGCCCTGTCCGAATTCAAACCCTGATGGGCAACATCCATATTAAGCAGGAGATGGAGGATGACTATGACTACTATGGCCAACAGAGGGTGCAGATCCTAGAGCGCAATGAGTCTGAGGAATGCACTGAGGACACTGACCAAGCAGAAGGCACTGAGAGTGAGCCCAAAGGGGAGAGTTTTGACTCAGGCGTCAGTTCCTCCATTGGCACTGAGCCTGATTCCATGGAGCAGCAGTTTATGGCTGCTCTGGGCCGGGATGGGCAGCAAGAACCTTCTCAAGCAGATCAAAATGACGTCCCTGCTGATGGCACTCAGCCGCAGCAGCAGCAGCAGCAACATGTAGATGCCAACTCTTCTTCACCAGAGAGAAGCAATGACGTTGAAATGGACAGCAAAGTGCTCACAGTCAATAACAGCACCGAAAAGGGGGCTTTGCAGCCTTCTGTCAACACAACTGTTGCCCAACCATTGCCAACCACACAGATCTACTTACGCCAGACAGAAACCCTCACCAGCAATCTGAGGATGCCACTGACTCTGACCAGCAACACTCAGGTCATTGGCACAGCTGGCAACACCTACCTGCCTGCCCTTTTCACCACGCAGTCTGCTGGCAGTGGCCCTAAACCTTTTCTCTTCAGCCTGCCCCAGCCTTTAGCTGGCCAACAGACACAGTTTGTGACAGTGTCCCAGCCTGGCCTGTCAACCTTTACTGCCCAGCTGCCAGCCCCACAGCCCTTGGCCCCGTCTGCGGGCCACAGCACAGCGGGTGGGCAAGGCGAAAAAAAGCCTTACGAGTGCACTCTCTGTAACAAGACTTTCACCGCCAAACAGAACTACGTCAAGCACATGTTTGTACACACAGGTAAGAGTACTTCCCTTTGGCTTATTTATGAAGCCAAAGAAAGCCCTTCACAACCACGGACTTAGATTCTGTTTGCCAACATGCCATCCTCCAACACAAATAGAAGAGAGGGGTTATCCAGGGTGTCACTGAACACTTCCCAAGCTTACTGCACTGAAGTTTAGCCTCTGCAGAAATGGAAGTGGCATGAGGAAACTCAAATCAGAAGAAAAACTGTATCTGCTGAGAAAGGGCATACCCCTGTAGGTTTTAAAGCTACGGGGGTTTAAGCTCAAGTGATGATAATTGGCATGAGGTTAGGTCAAAGTCATTACTGGTAGAGCTGCAGCAGTTAGGTCCAGGCTTGGATGTTATGCACATTGCCACGTATTTTCTTGATCTTGCATATTCCTGTAAGAAAGTAAATTGTGAGTTTTGTAAGTAAGGAGAGAAAGAAGTCTTTCTGTAGTATCTTGAAGGTGATTGCTGTAATCCCTTATCTCTTGGTAAGTCAGATAATTCGCTAGGTGTGAGTACAGAAATATAGGTTTCAATAAGAAAATTTTAAAAGAATATATGTAGAACACAACAGAAACAATATCAGCACTTTTTTGTTTAAAAGTGCAGCTGTTTTAGTATATGGTTTATGGGCTATTGAGACAGTATAGGTAACCATATGTTCTGCTGAGCCAAAACTGCCTTTTCTAGCTTTCTCAAGTTATGAGACTTCAAAGCAAGGAGATATATGTATCTTACATGGAGGAGCTATCATGAGTTCAGGACTAAATTTTGCTTGCTTTAGCCCTTGGCTCTTTATGACATTGGAGAGAAATTCTAGTTTAGAGAAAGAGTAAATATTTCTTTCACCAAGCAATGGTTTTGTTAACATCAGATCTTAAAATAAATGCTGGTTTGTGAATAGAAACCTAGAAAAATTACCCAAAGTATGGGAGGAATGTAGGTCGTGCCTCTCAGTTGTATGCAATAGACTTCAATTCCATGTGCGTATGTAAACTTTTAAATTCAGTTTACCTGTATTTATCACTTAAATGAAAAACTTCTCTAGACATCTATGGCAGACATGTACGTGTACAAAAAGATCAACATTTCAGGACTGGTACAAAATGTATGATTGCAAGGATCAAGAGTCCTGAATCCCAAGATTACCCTTTGTGTGTTTATGTTCTTCATCTTTCTGTTGTGGATGAGTAGCTAAACTATTGCATAGAGAGTGCTGTATTATTCAGAAAAATATCCCCTTCAGAACATATTCAAATATATCTCCTTGCATCCTTGTTCTAAAACCTAGAAAGACTTTTTCACAAATAATTTCACTGAGATTAGGTGCTTTATTTCCCCTACCCCCAAACTGTGCACTGCACTTCTTATTTGGAGTCAGATAAAGAGTAGTACTGGAAGATTTGACCTTGAAACATTCCTAGTTATTACACATAATACCAACCAAGGAAATTGGTAGGCATCTCTAATCATTAATTAATGTTTTATTTGTATGGATCTGAGAATGCCCAGAATAATGAACTGTGGTGGCAAGGAGAGACTCAGGGAGATAAATTATTTCAGAATTCATTTGGCAACAAACTGGCTCCTGGAATGTCTGGGAGAATAATTGCACCTCAACCGACTGAGGGCTGGACTTCAGAAAACCTTTCTGAAAATAATCTTTATATGTGCAGCCTCAGAGATAGCATGTCTGCTACCTTCTCTAGTGCTGGACAGGATCATTACAAAAATGGAGAGGAGACAGCCGTTCCCACTGTCAGGGTGATTTTCCCTATCCCTGTTAAAAGAAGCCAGGCAAAGTGGCCCTGGAAAAGATCCACAGAAAGAGGGAAAGATTTGGGACATGTAAATATTTGAATTAGTCTTTCTGTTTGGAGAGCTCACAAGAAAAGTCATGGAGGAGTCTAATCATAAACCAGAATTCAACAAACTAAAGGTCTTCAAATCTCTGTATGTTCTTATGTTCCAAAAACTATAGTCTGGTGTAGCTTTCCATGCAACAGAAACCAGCCTCCTTTTCTTCTTTTACATGGATGCAAACATACTAGAGAGGAGTGTTTTTCCATGTTCCCTTCAGACTGGCTTTAATGTATCCTACAATGTTGTTCTCCAAGACATGCAATGTTGTGGAAATAGAGTGCTAGAATGGATGCAGTGTCTGTGCACTTTATAAACCACCATTGCCTTTTCCTGCGTATGACACTGCAGTTAATAGTGGATTAAGGGCTGAAAAAGGCATGCCAAGGTGATCATGGCAGGGCCCCAACATTGCTGTCTCCTTTCTAATCTGGGGCACCCATGGTGATGGGATGAGGGGAAGTCGTATGAGGAGTGGCTGAGGTCATTTGGCTTATTCAGCCTAGAGAAGAGACTGAGGGGAGACCTCACTGTGGTCTACAGCTTGCTCAGGAGGGGAAGTGCAAGAGCAGAAACTGATCCCTTCCCTCTGGTGACCAGTGATAGGACATGGGGGAATGGCATGAAGCTATCTCAGGGTAGATTTAGGTTAAGCATTAGGAAAAGGTTCTGCACCCACAGGGTGATTGGGCACTGGAACAGGTTCCTCTGTGAAGTGGTCATGGCACCAGCCTGCCAGAGTTTGAGAGGCACTTGGACAGTGCTCTTGGACACATGGTGTGACTGTTGGGGTAGTCCTGTGCAGGGCCAGGAGGTGAACTTTGATGATCATTGTGGATCCCTTCCAACTCAGGATATTCTAGGGTTCTGTGGGCTCAGTGTCAGACCAAGCATCCATTATGCTTAGGGTAAGGGTTCAAAGAGCCACAGAGGCTACAACTCTAGAACACTGGGGCTGGAAAAGGCATGCCAAAGGGACCATGGCCGGGCACTGAGATTGCTGTCACCTCTTCCAGCTCAAGATGTGCTGTGATTCTATGTTTCTCAGTGCCCCACATTGCTGTCTAATAACAGCCAAAGACAAAATAAAGAAGCATGCACATTTCACTCACTGAGCAAAGTTTTCTCTGACTTTAAGATGAAGAATCATGGGAATAAAGAATCTACAGTGCTTACTGAGGAAGCACATATATTTGGATCCAAAAAAAAAAAAAAAAAACCCACTAAAAAGTTTTGAGATTCTTAGGAGAAGAAAAATCCCAGGAAAGCTTTGAAGCTGAGATTAAAAATCCAGAACCCAGTGTCACTTTGGAACATATGCAGGAAAAAATTAAGGTGTTTTTATAGCATAGTCTTAACAGGGTCCAGAGTGGCAGAAACCAACTTAGTACAAACTCTGGGACATATATTGCCCCAGGCAAAAATGAGCACTGTAAATATAATCAGTCTCTTTTAAGTTAATCAGATGTTATTCTAACTGACAGACTATCATTTTCCACACAACATGTGTCAAGCAAATGGGTCTGTCTGCACTCAGTACACTATTGTGTTTGGCAAACTCATTATGAGTGCAAGAAAGAGCAACAAGTGGGTTTCATTCATGGATGTCACCATCATACATGCATACCATGAAATAAAAAGGGACAGAGGCTCAGGGAGAAAAAAAAGTAGGTCCTTCACATCCATTCCATATTAATTATCTCCTATTAAAATTGAATATAAGTGGCATATTGTAATCTCACTATACAAAGAGTAAATTATATATTACTACAGGCGTGTCATGGTCCCTGAAGATTGACTCTTCAGGATTTAAAACAGTGTACACAGACTGTAAAATAGAGGAAGCAGGATGTCTGTGTGGGGCGGGGGGGAGGATCTCTGCTAGATGGGAAATTGAAGAATAACCACAGGAAAATAATTTTTTCAATCAGTGAAACAGAGAATAATTTTGATAGTTACAGAACTATCTCTCTCCCTAACAACTTTGGGGATGATGAATTGCCACACCTGAAATATGCCACAAGTGATTCAGAAAACAAATTAAAAAGCAGCTTTTGATGGGGCATTCAGGGTGTTGTTTATTGTCTACATTATCAGTGGAGCAATATATTATGAAAATGTTGCTTGATACCAAGAAACATGAGACCATGGCACTGTTTGTCAGAAGAACTCTGAGCATGAGGAGGATTTCAGAGTAGCCTGAAAAAAGCAATCATATGTTCTCAGATGAGTAATTTTCCCAGTTCATCCTTGTAGTCACTTGTTTGTCAGAGTTCGTGATCAGAGTTCAGTTATACAGGTTACCATAATCAGTTTTACAAGCAGTCCTGGACACCCAAGGCAGTGTGGTAGATTTCGTAAGTATTTTTTATCTCTGGTTTACCTCATAAAGTGTTTTATTTAGTTGGGAGTCGAATCATTTAAAATTCCTGTCTCTTGCACTATCATTTTATCTGTTAGGTTGCCCTTCATATGGTGCTGGCCAGCCTGGGCAATTCTGTGTATTGAGATTCCCTTTTCAGTTACTCTTGTCCATGTTTCATCTATGAGATTTGACCAGGAAAAAGGGGGCAACAAATGTAAACCTCTTATAAAGCATTGGATTCCTTTGGCAATCTCTAGCATTTCTCTTCTGAGAAATTTAAAGCAATTTGGCCAAAATAAATGTGTTACAGATAAGCTATCTATAGTAATCACTAGTTTTGTCCATGCTTTTACTGCATGCAGGGAAATGGAGGCACTGAAAGGTAAAGTAACCTGGCTAACACCTGTGTAGAAGTGAGCATGAGGACACGGGCAGAAGAGGCTGTGCCATTGAAACTGAGCTCTTTTTTGCTGTATGTGGATTGGGAATACCTTCAGCCTCCTTTGTAAAGCATTTGAAACATCTGATTGCAAAAAACATTGCCTATCAAAACACACTTATTAACAGAATTACTCTTTGTTAGCCAGAGCACCTTTTCAAAGACCTCCATGAGACTTACCATTCGTTTATTGCAAAGCATTTTACTGGGCTGGTTTAATTTTACGATCTTCTTTTTTTGTCTGTTTTTCTTTTTCTCTCTCTCTCTCTCTCTTTCTCGTTGGTAATGGGCAGGTGAGAAACCACACCAATGCAGCATCTGTTGGCGCTCCTTCTCTTTAAAGGATTACCTAATCAAACACATGGTGACGCACACCGGCGTGAGGGCGTACCAGTGTAGTATCTGCAACAAGCGCTTCACCCAGAAGAGCTCCCTTAATGTGCACATGCGTCTCCACCGCGGGGAGAAGTCCTACGAGTGCTACATCTGCAAGAAGAAGTTCTCCCACAAGACCCTGCTGGAGAGGCATGTGGCTCTGCACAGTGCCACCAACGGCACGCCTGGAGCCACCGGCACCGGCGCAAGGGCCGTCCCCGCCGGGGTGGTGGCCTGCACGGAGGGGACCACGTACGTCTGCTCTGTCTGTCCAGCTAAGTTTGACCAAATCGAGCATTTCAACGACCACATGAGGATGCATGTGTCAGACGGATAAGTAGAATCTCTCTCTCTCTCTTTGTTATGAACAACAAAAATAGAAACAACAACAACAAAAAAAGAAAGCTATGGCACTAGAATTTAAGAAATTATTTTTGTTTCATTTTTACCTTTATTTTCCTCCTTTTTTTGGGTTCATTTTGTTTTGTTGTTTTTGTACTACATGAAGAACTGTTTTTTGCCTGCTGGTACATTACATTTCCGGAGGCTGGGTGAATAATAATTTTCCCAACCTCCCTTGGATGGTGGCCTTAAGGCCAGGTAGTGCTTCATGAGCTCCACTGGTTGGATCTCTAGCTACTGGCCTCTAAATACAACCCTTCTTTACTACAAAAAGCAAACAACAAAAAAAAAATGACAAAAAAAATTTAAAAAAAAAACAGACAGAAAAATAATAAAAAAAAAATCTTTTTTTCTCACTTGTGAAGAGCACTACAAAAAAAACAAACAAAACAAAATATATTACAAATCTACAAGGCCTACTGTCATTATAAGTACACCGCTTGCAGTGTTTCAATGGACATGATTCACATTGCTGACCGCTTTTGGACTTCACAGTATCCAGTTAGAACTGTGGAATATTTTGCTTCTGGTTGAGCAGCAACCAGAGGAAACAAGGCCCTGCTGGTTTCCACCACATGTCTGCTTTTTCACACAAACACGCATCCACAAACACACAAAAGGGCTGAGGGGAATGCGAGGCAGTGTGGCTTGGATAGTGTGGAGTCCCTGCAGGGTGAGGAAAAAGAATCAGAGGTTCCTCACCTGGATTCTGCTCCATCCCACGCTCTCTGGCGCACCCTCCCCGCTGCTTTTCTCGTACCACCACCACCACCTTATAGCAGAAACCAAGAAGATTCAGACAACGAGCAACGGTGGCTTTTTGTAATTTATTCAGTGTCTTCGCTGAGCACAGGGCCTCAGCACAATCAAGAGGGACTTTCACAGAAGGCAAAGAGAAACACAGAGGAAAATCAAAGATATCAGAGGTTGCAACCTATGGATCTAGGTACAAGAGAAGGGTTAGTTCCCACAATCTTTGCAAAAAAAAAAAAAAAGTTGCATCAGGATTTATTCTTGTGGAAGAAAGAGGAATAGAGGGTGGGTGGGGAGGGGAATAATAATTAAAAAAAAAAAAGAGTTCTTGGGACTTTTTTAATTCAAAATTTTATAGAGGGGCAAAAGTGACGTTTACCAGATAGAATGCTGATTTTTTTAATATATTTACAACAGTATTTGTGTAAAAAAACAAAAAAAGTGAGATTGTTAAAAGTAATTTTTCTTTGTTTTCTTTTTTGTTTTGCATACACTGCCACTAATATCTTCTCTTTTATTATATATATGAATATATATAAAAATATATATTTTATTTTAAATTGAGACTGTTAAGGTTAGCTAACCTGCTTCCAGATAGAGGGGGGGGAGGGGAGATGATCTTGATTTTTATTTTAAAAAAGAGGAAGGATTTTTCTTAATTTTCTTTTCTAGTATTATTCTCTCTCTTTTCTAATGGAATCAAGAATTACCTGGGTCGATGAGGGGCTCTGTGAAGTCATCTGTGAGATTATCTACTAGTGTTTGTGCATCCTGCAGTATCATTTGAACTGCTACTTTGTTTTTTGAAGTACATGGTTCTCTTTTTGGCTCTTACCAAGCTTCTATTGTTTCTTTTTTTGGTTCCGTCTCAGAATTTGTTTCTGCTGAAGGATGGTTTCTTTTGAGAAAGAGATTTTTCTAGCTATGTTTCCCTGGTTTTGGGGATTATATAATCTGTAGTCTTTCTTCTTATTTGAAAAAATAATGAAAGTTTTGGAAGTGTGTAATAACTAGGATTTCCCTTCTTTTTGATCACTGGACAAAAATTAATCTGCTGTATTGTTCTCTCATCCCTGCCTTGCTCGCTAGAGAGCTTCCATATTTGTGTGGGAATCTGATCCTGCCCCTGGTAATTTGTGCTGATGCCAAAATAACTTAAAATGTTACCATTGCAAATAATCTTCCCTTCATTTGCAAAAACGTCTAATGGAAGGGCCACATCCCGCATTCTCTGCATATACCAAGCTATGCAAGGAATGTAGGATCAGTGTGAAAGATTGATTCCTGATCTGCATATATATGTCGGTGTTCTGTATTTTGTTTTACTGTGTTTGAACTGGTGTTCTCCCTAGTTGTCTTCTGTGTATCTGTGTAAGAATTTTTCCCCCAAAGCCAACTCCCAAAGTACATGGGTCCTTAGTTCAGTTGGATCAGTGTCTGACACTGTCTTGCTTGAAATCCATAGTGAGGACTTCCAGCAGCTGCACTCTGGACTTCATATTTTAGGCAGAGAAGAAGCACCTAACAAAAATATGCAAAAAGAAAAAAAAAGAAAAATTGCTAGTTTAGCTTTTACTTGTGTTTATATTTAAATTAAGCTTTCTTAAGTTTACAGAACTTTGCTTGTGAACACTGAGCATTTCACATGAGACATTTTTTGATGCTGGACAACTTTCTAACTATTGACTTGATAGATCTCCATGTACAACTTTGTGTGTTCTTTACACCCGCGGCTTCTCTATCAGATGTCTGTCATTCGTTACAGGTAACTTCATTGATATGTTCTATGCCTGTTCCATTACAATTTATTTGGGGAAAAAAACCTGACAGGTGGTTCAGTCTCAGAATCTTTCTATACCCTGCAAGGTATTGTTCAACAGATCCTAAACGCTGAAGCCCTGATTCTAATCTGCAGTACACAGCATAGAGAGACTTTGAGGTGAGTGCCAGAGCAAATGAGTCTCTTTTATGGTAACGTCTTTCTTTGTTACCAGTTTGTTTGGGTAGCTGGAGGGTTATAAGGGGCTGGAGAAGGAGCACGAGTTAGTTAACAAATATTGTTGTTTTAACCACACTGGAAAAAGCAATGCCAGCATGTAAACCGAGAAGTGAAAAGACAAAGCCCAAGATACAGAGAGGGAGAACTAATATCTGCCATGCAAAGGCACACTAAACAAAGGTTCTGGAGACAAGGGTGTGGAAGAAAATGGGGAAGGTCAACCTAGACAAAAGGATTAGAGGCTTTTCTCTGGGGAAAGGAGGCTTTCTTCTGAGATTTTTAATGTAGAAGAATGTTATCCCATATGAGGAATGAGTGAAAAATTTTACCCAGCTTAAAAATATGTAGCTGCTCATTTGTCATCTGAGGTCTGGGGAAAAGCTGTTTAATTTGCTGTTGTAACTCTGGTGAACTGTAGTCAAGATGTAGCATATTCTGGAATATGGTTCTGATACCAGATGAGATATACCAGTAAACAGGAAACAAGAATCAGGGTTTACATCCACCAAAATCCAAGTACTATCATGTTTAGAGAGAAAAATCCTATCCAAATTGTAATCCTTCAGTTTTCATCCTTCCCTAAATCAAAGAAGTATCACCTTTTAAATCCAAACTTTTTATGAGATCTAATAAATTTGAAGTAAATTAAAGGTCAGTTGTGAATGAATGAAGGATGCCAATTAAAAAAAATAAATAAACAAAGTTCTTCAAGTAAAGATAAGGCTTGGCAGATTGAATTCTAAAGCACTTTTCAAAGAATTTAGGCCAAGGTCTTCGCAAATGAGTGCCTGAAACATTAACTGATTTTGTTGAACTTCGAGACTTGATTTTGTAAAACATGAAGCAACTTGCAGCATGACTGCTAATGTAGCTGAAAGTGCTTGCCAGGTCACTGTGAATTTAGGAGCTCAAACATAACCCCCTTTATCTTTTACAAGTTAAATTCTTTTTAGTAATGTTTCCTCCCACCTTTGAAATACTTACATGCTACTTGGAAACAACTCTAGTATCCAAATGTTGCAGGTATATTCAGCCTTCATGTATTGCTGCAATATTCCTTAGCAGAAAGAACTGCAGTCACAGTGATCTGGAAACCACTGCTGACAGTGTTTGAGCGAATCTATCTCACTATGCTTGAAAGGTTTCCTGCCAAACACCTGATAAAATGATACAGATGAGAAAACGCAGACTGTAGCGCGCATCCTTCTGATGAAGCATGCAATATCCTGCATTCCTTGAGCTTGATTCTCACTTTCCCTTAAGCTCTCTTTATATTGCTTTGGTAATGGAAAAGGGCATTAAATAGAACATAAATTCATGTTACAAATCAAGGCCTCTCTGCAAGACAAAAGTGCAATAAAGGAAGCCTTAGAGTAAATGAGGAGTAAGCACCTTCTCTTACTGCTGCTGAGGCTGGTGAAGTGAATTGGAAATGTAGGATTGGCCAGAGCAGTTCTACCCTGTGGTCTGTCTCACCCAGTACTCTGTCTCTGACATGTGGCCACTTAGAGATGATTTGAATGAAGATGAAAGACCCGTGTTGGATAATTACAAAGCAATAAGCCTAAGGGAGAAAATTTATTATAATCCTCATTAACTATTTGTATATATAAAAAACATATAAATTTGAATATTTATTTGCCTATAACATGAAGACATAATAATTTATGGCTTTAAGTTTTTATCCCATATGAAAATTATATATTGTGGCAGGTAATTCTCACTGTCCTTTAAAGATCTATCTTATTAATTCCTAGCTGGGCCCCATGCCATCCTGTGGAAGTGAGTTCCTCAGGTAAATTACCCCCTCATTGAAATGATTCCTTTTCAAGTTAATTCTGTTGCTGTTCACTGAAATGCCCATGTTCCTGTATTATATGAAATCATAAATCAGAAACCCAAAATTTAACTTCTCTTGCCCGTTCCACTGAGGTTTACCTGGGAAATATGAATCCACAAGGAATACAGGACCACAACCTCAGTGTCTGCTGATCAGCAAGGAGAGAACAGCTACTGAGTGTGTCTGTGTGCATGTCTGGGGTGTGTGCATTAGTGAGGTTCTCCTACAGTGACTTCTTGCAGAGGACTAGCAGGCACAACTCATAAATAAT